AAATGCTTCAATTTCGACATGTGCCAGAACTGTTTCTTCTCAGGCAGGAAAGCGAAGAACCACAAGTTGACGCATCCGATGCAGGAATATTGCACCGCGGTAAAACTTTACGCCTCGTTTATACAATGCTCTCTTTATATGCCTTCCGTAATACGAAACAATAACACTCGTTTATTTCGTAGACCACATCTGGCGAGGACGTGCGCGACTTTACGAGAGCGCTTCGGAATAAATTCAAGTCGAAGAGATACTTCAAAAAGCATCCAAGAGTCGGTTATCTGCCGGTGCAGACCGTTTTGGAGGGAGACGCGTTGGAAAGCCCGGCGCCGTCGCCGCAACATAGCTCCCTCAGCCAGGACATGCACTCCCGGCTGGAGATGTACGCATCCCGGTTGGCGGAAGTCGAACTATCGCGCACAAGAAGCAACTCGACACCGGACAGCGATGACGAGCATCAGCTGATCGCTCATTATTGCCAGAGCTTGAACGGGGGCGACAATGTAAACGTGCCAAGAAGCCCCGTGCAGGTGATGGCCGCGATCGATGCCGAGCAAAGAGAGGAGCTTGAAGCGATGATACGCGAACTGGAAGAAGAGAACGCGACACTCCAAGCGGAATACGAACGATTGCGCTCGAAACAGACGCCGGGCTCGACGCCGGAAGACGGCCATGGCAACCGACAGCCTGACTGTGACATGATCGCCGAGGCGAAATTGTTGAGACAGCACAAGGGCAGATTAGAGGCGCGCATGCAAATACTAGAGGATCATAATCGTCAACTGGAGGCTCAGTTGCAGAGACTCAGACAACTTTTGGACGAGGTGCGTTTAAGTTGACTTTGATAGTTGTTTCTATAACGTGAAATTTATATGATGACGTTTATAGATAAGTAAAAGATTCTTTAAAGCTCTCTTTAGTTAGAGAAGTATGAGTTTTTTTAAATTTCAATGTATTTTAAACAGATTTGTAGCATTATAAATGACTGATTATTTTTCTTATTTGTTTTTGCAGCCAAATGCTTCCTCGCCATCTAAGACAGGCACATTACAAACGCGAAGCGTTACAGCATCTCAATTGGCAACTGATTCGCCTGCTAAAATGAACGGACATTATCACGATTCCCCAGGTAAAATAAAAAACGATGTGATGTGTTACTATTAATTATTTTATTGCTTATAGAAACGGTGAATCGAATCAACATCATCATTTACGCGAATAACTTATTTCAATCTGTTTTAATTTTTCGCAGTTTGTTATTTAATTTAAAAATATTCTTTACTCATAAATTAAATCTTTCGTACTCATAAGTGGAGTTTAAATGATTCACAATGCTGGCGCATACGCCTTGGAGTCATATTCATTATTCAAAATAAGTGGGCGCAGGGTATTTCTGACGCTATTAAATACTAACTGCATATTAATGAGCGTTTCGCAAAGTGCCAAAGAGATTAGCATAAAGCTTATTGGTATGGGTATATGAACGTAGGTGGTGGAGGTTCGAACGAGGGAAGAGTGAGCAGTTTAGAGAGGCCACCACCGCCACCGCATTCTCACAGTGTTGCCCACAACGTGGGCAATCTCTTGCACATGGCAGGTTCGTTCTATTCTTCGTGTGTCAATCAATATGATCATTTTTTATATGTAGTGCAATCAAAAATTACAAAAAAAAAAAATCTGCTATGTCGAACGTTTCTTATGCACGATCTCATTTCTGCTTAACAATAACCATGCTTTCCTGTTTTTCACGCCACAGAATGGATGTAAGGTGAGACTATCAATGCTTCTTTTCCCGCTCATTCTTTTTATACGCACTATCCCTTGAAATACGTTTAATCTTATTCAATCGAGAATCGTTTGTGGCTTAATATTATCATGTATATTCACTAATATGAAGAAATTTAATATCTGATTGTATTTAACTGTATAGGGTGAAAAAAAAATGATAAATATAAAAAAAAGTACATATAAATATTGTACGAAGATGTTAAAATTTGATATTAATAGAGATATATAATTTCACATCTTCAAAAATATTAGAAATATTCGATTCATCTTCTCAACATTCCACCCTATACATTATCGTATTTATATTTTAACTTTTTTGTCTGCTCTACGTGTCGCTTCTACGTGTCTACGATCACAAACTCAAATACCTATCCGCCAGGCAGTGTTTCCATCAATCATCAATGTTTTTTTATACCTGCATGTGATGGATCGATAAATATAAATGTTTAAATATGAAATGATAATGTCTTTATGTACTTAAAGGAAAGGTGATCTTCAATATTATAAATAGCAAACGAAGGAGTAGAAATTCAATTCAGAACAAAAAATTAAATTGAAATATTCTCTTTTAGGAGACTTAGGGAAAGCAGTCGGTGAACTGGTGACGGTGATGACCAGTGAGGACTTGTCGAAAACGAACGGACAAAGGGCACCACCACCGGCTTTCAAATAACGACTATTATCACGATTCTAATCGAGGATATTCCCTTGCGTTTCAACGATATCGATGGAAACGACAAGAAAAAAAAAAACGAGACCGATTCGATTGATCACGCACATATACATAATACACGCACGCGAGATCCACGAACTTTTAAATGTTTTAAATCAATGACCAATGTATGGCTCTAAACGCATATCAAAAGGAAAATATCATGCAAAAATGCAGGGTCAGGGTTAGCTGCCATAGTGGTTTTGGGTATTTTATAAGTTTTGATATATACAATTGTATAGCTAAATTATATTGACAGAAACGATTATGGTTTGGCTTTGGCGGCTCCCTGAGTAACTTTATTACATATTGACACGTCATATCATTGAGAAAGAATAATCGTATCAGAAAATAAAAAGCAAGAAGAAAAAAATGAATCAGTTGTTATATATGCTTACTAGTTAAAGTAAAAACAAAAAAATTATTATGGAAGTGATGAAATAAAGGTGATGAGGATGAAATGTAACGATTATAAGAAAATTACACGAACGGAAATATCATTAACAATGCATGCAAAAGCAATGTATTAAATCACGTACTCTATTCTAGATCGTAGATTACATTTACATACCCATTCTGTTCACTGCCACAGGCTCTTCCTTGACATTAAATAACATACACGTTGTACATGTTATGCGATTTTAGATGACACATAAAAAAAAAGAGAAATAAGAAAGAAGGAAGAGAGCAGAGGGTATGATAATATCCTGGTATCTTCCCGTACTTCTGCAAATACGGAACTTTACATCGATACATGATGATACACCGTTACACACGACACACGTACATGCATATCATTATATACATATACATATACATATATAAATAAATGAATGAAATATATATATGCATGTGCATATATATATATATATA